TGATATATGTGTGTATGTGTGTTTGTGTGTGACATGTGGAGCCATAGGGCAACTTTCAAAAGTTGATTCTCCATTTTTTTTTTTTTTTTTTTTTTTGGTTTTTCAAGACAAGGTTTCTCTGTGGAACAGTCCTGGTTATCCTGGAACTAGCCCGTGTAGTGCCAGGCTGGCCTCGAACTCACAGAGATCCGCCTGCCTCTGCCTCCTGAGTGCTGGGATTGGGGAAAGGTGTGCGCCACCACCGCCCAGCGAAGCAGGATTTTCTTGTTGGTTCTGCCACTCTGCATACCCCAGGCTAGCCTGTGAGCGCTCTCTTCCTGTATTCCTACAGAAGTGCTGGGGATTACAGATGTGTGGTTCCACATCTAACTGTTTTGCTTGGATTCTGGGGATCTAACTCAGGTTGTCAGGTTTCTGCCACAAGTGCTTGTACCCACTGAGTCATCTCAGTGGCCCTGATTCAATTTCTGAAGCAGCCCCTGAGACAAGAAGGAGTTCTGGCAGGGCAGCCGCATGGGCAGCAGCCGCATGGGCAGCAGCCGCATGGGCAGCAGCAGCATGGGCCACTGCTGAAGGCAGCAGGAGACAAGAAACCTCACACCCTGCCTGCATTATTAGTCCAGACGTAGCTGACTTGATACCACTTCATTCTTCATACGTAGGTCTCCGCTACACAGATGTTAAAGATCCGAGCAGTTTAGCAATTTATCTCCAGTGCTTGGGGAATGGCCCTGGGGCTCTGGACATTCTAAGTGATCTGCTGTTGATCTATACCACTAATCCTGTCCTCCTTACTGTAGACCAGGCTGGCTGGCCTTGAACTCACAGAGATCTGCCTGCCTCTGTGCTGGGATTAGAGGTGGGTGCAACCACACCTGGCTCATTTTTGGTTCTTGTTTCTTTCTGTGTTTGTTTGGCTTTTGAGACAGGATTTCTTTGAGCTGAGGCTGGTCTCAACTCACAAAGGAGCCAAGAATGACACTGAATTTTTGATTTTGTTGCCTCCACCTCCCAGAGGCTGGAACAAAGGCATCTCTCCCCAGGCCCAGACCCTGTGGCACCGAGGACTGAACCAGGGATTTGTGCACACTGGGCAGTCACTGTAGCCAACCGAGCTACAGCCCCAGCCCTCAATTGAGCTTCAGTCTTGTGTTCTTCGCATTGCCTAGGAGGAGCTCCTGATGCACCTATGGCGGTATCCATCTCTCTCTATCCACGGCATTGAAGGTGCCTTTGATGAGCCTGGAACTAAAACGGTCATCCCCGGTCGAGTCATAGGAAAATTTTCAATCCGCCTCGTCCCTCACATGAATCTGTCTGTGGTGGAGAAACAGGTAACGATATCTGTTGTCGCTCAGGCCCAGCAGTACCATTTCTGAGTCCCACACACCATGGCAAACAGAGCAACTCTGTGGTTCTTCCTCAAGTTTCATTTCTTTTTTTCCAATACAAAAGCATGGATAAAATGTCAGGAAGCCAGCATCAGCCTTACTCAGCGCAAATCTCCTTCCCCAGCTCCAGAAGTCAGACAAAGAGCCGCGCGGAGTTGCAATGATGGGACATTTTTAAAGATTAGACGGTAGCTATAAAGGCGAGATTGGCTTCGCACACGGATGGAGTGGGTGACTGACTGCACTTGTCTGGGGCTGGAAAGCCTCGAGTCCCCTCGTTTGTTATCTCGTGATCTTGGAAACCAGTGTGAGGAACGCAGCCATTGTGAGAAAAGCACTATCTGGAGGGAGTTAGCTATCTATATCAACCCAGTATTAATTCACCTGGTGTTGGCTTAACAGGAAGTAGACTCTTAGGGAATACCTCGATGCCCTCCCCAAGCTCTCAAGTCTGTCCTCCTCTTTCCTTGTCTTGTGCTCTAATTGCCTTCTCACACATCTCCGTTCCTCTCCCATCTGTCCTTCCTGGCTGTTTCCCTCCCTTCGGGAAACACCACTGCGTTATCTTAGGGATATACATCCACAGAGGCAGGCACGTCCTTGTCTCATTTGCTGCCACCACCTCCAGCACCTTGGTGCTAATAAATGCTGGATGAAAAATAAATGGAAAAAAAAAACCCTGTGTTTTGGAGGCTGGAGCCTCCTGGGAAGATTTCCTCAGTAAAGCAGGTTCTTTTGTTTTAATTAATTAATTTTTTTATCTGCCTGTCCCAGTTCTCCCTTCCTCTTCTTCTCCTGCTCTCTCCCTTCCCCCTCCCACCCACTTCTCAGAGAGGTTGAGGCCTCCCCTGGGAAGTCCTATTCCAGTCCCCTTGTTGAGGCAAGACCAAGGTCTCCCGACCCCTGCCCCGTGCATAGGCTGAGCAAGGTATCTCTCCATAGGAAATGGGCTCTACAAAGTCAGTTCGTGCATTAGAGTTAAATCCTGGTCCCACCGCCAGAGGCTCCACAGACTTCCCCAGCCACCACAGCATCGCCACCTGTATTCAGAGGGCCTAGTTCCGGCCTCTGCAGGCTCCCCAGTTGTCAGTCAGGAGTCAACTGATTCTGTGGGTTTCCCCATCAAGGTCTTGACCCCTTTGTTCATATTATTGCTGGTCCCTCCCTTTGCCAGGAGCTCAGCCAGTGGTTAGCTGTGGATCTCTGTACGGGCTTCCATCTGTTTCTGAAAGACATTCTAGCTTCTCTGGGGTTGTGGACTGTAGGCTGGTTATTCTTTGTTTTATGTCTGGTAGCCACTTATGAGTGAATACATATTATACTTGTCTTTCTGAGTCTGGGTTACCTCACTCAAGATGTTTTTTTCTAATTCTGTCCATTTGCCTGCAAATTTCAAGGTGTCATTGTTTCTGACCTCTGAGTAGCACTCCATTGTGTAAATGTACTGTATTTTCTTTATCCATTCTTTGTTTGAGGGGCATCTAGGTTCTGGCTATTATGAATAATTAAAGCAGGTTCTTAAAATGTCTCCTTCAGTGTCTAGCTTGGAACTGCTCCCACTTTTCAGAATTTTCCAGAATGTATAATGCCCCCCGGCCAAATATTCATTAGAGTGTTATTAGATGAGAAACTGTATTGGATTATGTTGCCTTAGAAGCCCCTGTTCACTGCTCTACACCCAGTGGCGTGACTAAAGGCGCCCAGTGCTCCAACCCGTCAGCTCAGGGTGTCTTCTGCTTTCTGGGTGGAAGATCATACACACTGTGTGAGCAAAGTCCAGCATCCTACTTGTTACTGACAGTGTCGCCTTCTAGGTGAAACAGCATCTGGAAGCTGTGTTCTCCAAAAGAAACAGTTCCAACAAGATGACTGTTTCTATGGTCCTAGGACTCCACCCATGGACGGCCAACATCTGGGACCCTCAGTACCTCGCAGCCAAAAGAGCCATCAAAACAGGTGGGCCTTACAGATATTTTGATTCACCTGTTTGTAGCAGGACCAAGACACCTTGTCTTTTTTACCCAAGGTGCATTGTCTGCAGTTCTCTAAAGCAGCAGAAGCAGTAGAATGAGTCTAGATTCAAAGGGGGTTTATTTGGCTGCCTTTCGTGGCACAGTGGCACAGTCCAGGCATCCCAACAACAGTTGCCTCACGTTGGAGAGGTCAAGAATCCAGTAGCTGTTTAGTCCCTGAGGCTGGGTATTAACCTGGTGCTAAAGGCTTGGAACGAGGATTACTGGAGTCCACATTGGAGGTCCAAAGGGGCTGGGTTCTGATATCAGCAAAGGAAGGCCAAAACAACAGCATTGACGAACTTGCCAGCAGGAAAGAAGTCAAGCAGGCAAAAAGGAAAAAGAGAAAAGAAAAGAAAGAAGCTTCCTGTTTCTGTCCCCTTCATCCAAGCCAGGCTGCCAACACTTGACCTGACACTTCAAAGGAGAGTGCCTGTGGCTTTCAGCTCGTCTAATGCCAGTGAAAGGAGGAAGTGCAGCAGAAGGCAGGCCACAGGACCTCTTCACTAAGAGGCTAAGAGGCCATGCTCCTCCATGATTAGATAAGATGGTTAACAATTGCTGAGGCAAGGAGAGTTTTTTTTTTTTTTTT